TGGATATCGAAACATATTTTCGCTTTGTAGATCCTTTGGGAGCTCCAGCATCGGAAATTCTATTTGACATAATCGAAAGTTCAAGCTTACTTTTTTAAAATTGCTCTAAACAGTCTGCAAAAAATAATAAGCCAAATAAAATTCAAAGATTAAGGAACAACGCAATCTGCAGCATTAACTGAAATAGATAATTAGATCATTTTAGCTTATACCGTCCGTTATACATTAAACGCACATGCATAAATGTATTATGCGAATGCGCACATGCATATGCGCAGCCGTAAAGGTCTAACGTACATGCGTAAATACTTATGCGTATGCGTCAACGCGACGCATGCGCAGTAAGTTTGTAGCTTTGAGGTCCAGATTACAGATCATTTTGGATTATGGGTGTCCGAATTAATGACTTTTGACTGTACATGAAATTAGATTAAGATTTTTTAGTATTCCAAATACATATCGAATGAGAATTATATAATGGAGAGTGTCATATCACTGTCCTGTCTTGAAGGAATGAGAAAAAAAAAAAGCAAGTCACACAATTAACTCCTTTGCAGGGTGTCCAGTTTACACTGTTTTTTTTTTTTTTTTTTTTTTTTTTTTTTTTCCGCTACTGGCGAAAGCCCATCACTATTTGCATACTAACATACCGCCTCATGAAAATGAATCAGAGAATCACCACTTGAGAAACAAAGTGATGAAGTGATGGGATTTAGAACCAAAGTAGAGTACCAAAGAACTCATTCTGAATTAAGCATTTTTGCTAGTACAAGATTCTTTATAAATTTTGAGTGAAAAGCAATTTATGTAGTAAAATTTACAAACTACTTAAGTAAATGTTTCCCTAAAACTTTGGTTCTAAATCTCATCACTTCACGAAACTACAATTTTGGCCTAACTTAATTTGCCAGTTTGGCATTGCCATTCTTACTTGAGTAAAAGATGAAATACCTTCGTATTTATTAATTATTGTTCATTGAACGGGAGTTGGTTTGTAACTTTTGAAAAGTCAACTAATTTCCAATCAATAGCGATAATTACTTGCTTTTAATTTAATTTCTTTTTCTAAGTTTAAAATTTTGTTATTCATGATTTAAATTCAAGTTCCTGTAAAACATTTTTAATAATTTACATTCACGTTACTTTAAAACACAATTTTCAGAATCAAACTTCCTACACATGGGTTCCCTCTTTTTCGATACTACATTTATCTCAGGAGATAATATAATCAATATTTCTTTAGTATATATATGTGGATCATTCAACGCAGCATGCAATTTATCGTCATCTCGCTAAGACATTGTCACTATCAGTTGTTGCAGGGACGGTGTTTTCAAATATTTTTCTTTGACTGTTTGAAAAAATGTTAAATCCTTATCTTTTTTGTCACTATGAATTTTCATTAAATGTTCCTTAAGCTTGGAAAGTTTCATTGAATTATCTGACATAGTTTTATTATATACACGGCACATAGGTTAAAGTACTAGTTCCTGGTGATGAAATAAAGCCATACTTCAAATATTTAACACTGTATTGTCGACACTTTTTCTTCAGCTCACTCATACTGATATCAGTTAAAAAGGGCAAAAAAGGATGTAAGAAAATTTGTATCTCAAATATTTTATTTGGAACAAACCACTGTTAATTATTATTAAATTTTTCAATGGAATGCTCCAATAAAGATCTTTCAAATTAATTATTTGATGTAAGGTTAAAATTTCATGTAATTTTTGAATAAAATATAATTCTTAATAATTAGCTTCTTTCATATATATATATATGAAAGAAAAATAAAGAATATGTAAAAGATTAAATTAGCAACGTAAATTTCCCATTTCAATTCTAAAAATAGTAACCTCTCTCTGCACTGCGTCATTTCTAGATTAAACCATGTCATATGACTCTTACATAATTCTGGTGATGTAAATGGAACTAAATACATAGTTCTGGTGATGTAAAACTCAAGCAGCCAATAGTAATTTTACAGTAATATTAACTATAATGTATTGAGAACCAAAACTACCTCAGTCTGAATTCAGATTTCACTCTGAACAACGTACTTGCTTTCAATGCTTTGGCCTAGCTGGAACACTGTCTGACTCCTCCTTCTATTTTACTGCAATTTTATCTAAAATGTAAGCTTTTCCGAATAGGCACAATTAATGTGCCAACCTGATTGTGGCCACAACATGATTGCTGAAAATAATTGCTTCTTCTCCAATTTCCTATTCATTATGGATCAACACTTTTATGCCATCAAAATTCCTGCTGAACATTACTTCTGAGTTTGATTTTATCACATATGTATATATATTAATTGTTCTTATAGCTAGAAATTGTTTGCAATAGAAAAATCTGCCAAAATGCATGGCAGGTGCATAAGAGAAAAACCTTGTTATGTTTTTGATTTTCACTGTAGTATTTTTTATTATCACAAAATTGAATCTGACCCATTGCTTTTAGTATGCATTCTGTATTTTGTATAGTAATTGATTCAGGTCAATAATTTATTGAAAATAATGTTGAAAAAATTAAGAATGTTGAGATGTTTCTTTCTCCTCATTTTGTCCTGTGGAGGTAAGCAATATTGGAAAAATGACAGCACTGTAAATCAGCGGTTCCCAAACTTTTTTGACCCATTGACCGCTTTTATAATAAAAACTTGCCAACGGACCCCCAAGTGAAAAAGCTACATAAATGAATAATATAAAAATTACAAATTTAAAAAAAATGTTGAAAAAGCATTTATTGAAATTATAACTTTTGTTTAAAATAAACTTTAAAAAGAATTAATGACTTGGATGAACTTGATGAGACGTTATGAGTGTATATATGTCCCGTTCAATGTTTGTGAGTAGCAACCGCAAATCCCCACGATCATTGATTTCTTGTTGGTTTCTTTTTTTTGTGTGTGTGTGATAAGGTTCATAACGGCACTGAATCAACGTTCAACCAAATAGGAAGACGGGGAAAGCAGTCAACAACTTCTGTGCAATAACCCATAATGCAGGATATAAAACTGGGATCTGTTTCTGGGACCAGAATTTGTGATATCCTTGTTCAAACATTGCTTTAACCCTCTCAGCGTTAGGACTGGAAAATTCCGTACAGGAGGTTGCCTTCCACGGTCATTAAACATGAAAATTTCTGCTAGCTTTTAATGTATCCGATTTCAGTTTGAATGTATATTGGAAGAAAAGAAATCAAGGTACAAAATGAAAGAGTCATTTTTTAATTAAAATCAAGAAAATATCACTTATTCGTGACATTTTGAGGAACTTTGAAATTTCAGGGCTAAACCCGTAACGCTCAGAGGGTTAAGTTCCTCATTTGTGGATATTTCAATAAGCTACTTCTGTATTAGTCTGGATTCATCTGTGTTTGGGATTTGAGTTTGGCCATGTGCAAAAGGGTTCAACACCAAGTCAGGAATATCCAAGTGAAGAATGTCTTCAAATCTTTGGTTCAGGTCTGTATGAGGAGCCGTTAGGTGTTGACAGTAAGCAAGCAAATTTTCATCTCTATTTTGTAATTTTGAAAGATTTGGAAACTGAGAACATTCTACTCTTTCCAAGTTTTGTTTATACAGAAAAAGTTTTACAACAAATGCAGATATTATACTTTTAGTTTTGATTAAATTTAATTGATCACCTTGTAGTTTCAAATTAGTTTCATTAAATTTGGCAAATAAATCAGTTTTATAGGCTATGTCATTTTTGAGTTAATTAAATTGTGTTTTAAATCATTGTCTTTGCTTTCCAGGAATTCCAACATTGAATCAAAGAGTGCGTAAAATTGATTTTAGATAATCAATGTACTTCTATGTGAAGTAGTAAACGATTATAGTCTTCGTTATTTTCCAAACAAAGCTGAGTAAATAATCTCTCGATGAAGGCATTCCTTTTGATTTTATTAACTGCTCTAATGACATAATATAGAGATCCATGCAAACGTTCACTAAGATTTTTTTAGACTAAATGATGTTGATGAATGACGCAATGTACTGAAAATACATTGGGTACAGCTTGTTTTAAGTATGCCAGAAAGCCTCAGTATCTTACTTCTATTGCCAGAACACCACTATTGCCAGAGTAACGGTAAATGTAACCAGCAACTTTAACATTCATCCTTAGGATTCAGATTCAGGACTCATTTTACCCCTGACACACATCCGCTTCATGGCTATATCAGCAGAGATCCGCGGTCTTAAATTGAACGTTCTCTCTCATCAAGATTTCCCTCAATTTTGTTTCCACCCACTCTCATGCCCTCATTCTCTTTTGCCTGTTTTTAGCATTATCTGAATTTTCATCAACTCTAAGTATACGTAATTTTTGTGATGATAAAAGAACTTAACCCCCCCCTACGATCTGAGCTTATTGAGCCGGTGCTTCTTAGTTTTTGTAATAAATGATAATTCTAGGCGGAGCGCACCGGAGCCCTAAATAAGAAGGCTGCAGCACTACTTTTCTGTAATTGAAAAACAAATTTCAGTAGAAATTTTATCTTCGAAAATTTTATTTTTAGCAATAAAATTATATTAAAAATCGCTTATTAAATTTTAATTTATCTCTTTACATTTAATTTAATTTATTTATTTACTTACTTTAATATTTAATTATTTAATTATTTCAATAAATAAATAAAAATTATCTAATAATTACCCATAAAATTATATTTAATTATATAATAATTATTGATTAAACAACAATTAAATAGCTATTAATTAATTTGATAATAATTAACTATTTAATTTTAAAATTATTAGTAAGTTTAATAGTCATTTTATTTATTTATTTACTCTTGTTCCTCTTTGCTGACGGTCTTCCATAGGGCTCCTGCACTTCTAATTTTAGAAATTAAGCCCTGACTCTTGTATTCTCATTGGATCTCTAGGATTTGTCATAATAAAAATGAAAGTTGCTCTCAGAATGTTGCCAAACACTTAAGAATGTTTTAATTCCCAGCAAAGAAATTATAATTATTATTTTCCTCTTATTTTCAGATTGTTGCGCTTATTTATGTATTTTTTGAGTGACTTTTTAAATGGCATACTAAGCTTAGCTGAAGAGTTAAAAATTGCCAGATTACAAATTTACTATTGCAATAAAATTATAATTTATGCTTACAGATCTCTAAATGAAGAAATGCTTCATGCTATAGACGTGCTATTTTATTTCCTGTACTGATATTTGAGTACTTTCTGATTATCTACATTTCCACAAAAATTCATTAACTCATTGGGGACTCAGTGAATTGGAAAAACCCATTTGTTTGGCTATCTTTGTGGCTTACAGGTATAATCCTATACATAAATAATAATAAAAAGAAGCATTTTCTTAAAAAAAAAAGAAATTTTTTTTTGAGGAAAAAACAAAAGTCTGTGTGATTAGTATTTACATTTTTAAAGACAGTAAATGCTGCTCAACTAAATGATGAATGAACATATAAAATACACTTGCACTCAAGCGCATGTGTGATATATGGATGCATGAGTTGTTACTGCTGTGTGTATACTTCAATATATGCCAAAAGTATGCAGTTTTATGACATGTTAAACACGGAATTGCAGATAATAAGAAAGTACACAAGTGAAGTTTTTTATGTTTATTTCAAGTTCCAGAATATTTTACTTATAGATACAGAGACATTATCATATTTCATTGTTACTGTTGTGCAATGTGCAGCAGGATGTGCACATGAAGATTGCAGGGTTAAGAAAAGAATGTACACTGACTACCAATAAGTATTTGGACACCTGTGATAGAAAATAAAAACTAACTTTATTCAAAATCAATAGTTGGTAGAGCCTCCACGAGAGGTAATTACAACGTGGACCCTCCGGGGCATACTTTCCACAAGTCTTTGTATGACAGCTAGTGGTATTTTCTTCCACTCGGCTTGGAGAAGACATAGAAGTTCCTTCACCGATTTTGCACGGGTAGTGCACCCCTGAATTCGGCGATGCAACTCGTCCCATAGGTTCTCGATAGGGCTCAGGTCTAGACTCTGGGCAGGCCAGTCCATTCGATGAACTCCATTGGCACCGTACCAAGCCTTGGTTAACGTCGAAACATGACAACTGGCGTTGCCGTCCTGAAAGTAACAGGGGTCCAACCCGTAAAACTGCCACAACGTAGGAAGCACATTGTCATCCAAAATAGTGCAGTAGGCATCGGAGTTGAGATTACCATGAATGGGGACCAAGGGTCCCAGCCCATACCATGAGAACCACCACCAGACCATAATTCTACATCCGCCGAACTTGACTCTTGGCACAATGCATTCTGGCAGGAGATGTTCTCCAGCTAGATGCCAGACCCAGATCCTGCCATCCGAACGGTAAAGGGTGAACCTTGATTTGTCACTCCAAAAAACCCGTTTCCACTGATCTACGGTCCAATTTCGATGTGCTTTCCTCCACATTAACCGAGCAGCGCGGTTAGACTTTGTGATCAAAGGCTTATGGGCAGCAGCACGACCATGAAAACCAAGCAGATGTGCTTCCTTACAGATGGTATACATTGAAACAATACTCCCGGATGCCTGTTGAAACTCCTCGCGGATGAGGGCCATCGGTTGGGTGCGGTCTTCCGAATTTCTCTGGACAGCACTCGTCGGTCTCTATCTTCCAGTTTCGGTGGTCTGCCGACTCAGGGCACACTCCGACAATCACCGCTCACCTTCCACTTCTTAATCACATAGGCCACTGTCGATTTTGCGTACTTCAGATGGCTAGATATGTCCCTTAAGGATCGGCCACATTTGTGATACCCGATAATTATACCTTTCTCGAAATCAGAGAGCTCCGAACTGTGAGGCATCTTGCATGCAACTAAAGCCAATGCTGTTTCCTACACGATATATACCGGCGGGGTCCATGACGTACCTCAGGACCGCAGATATCGTCATTTGCATAGGTGTCTAAATACTTATTGGTAGTCAGTGTATAAGGTTTAACTCTCTGAGCATTATAATCGGGTTTATCTAGTCATCAGAAGTTTTGCTACTTGGCATATATTAGCTTATAATTTAAGATGTTTTGTTTTCTTACTTTCTTTAGTAATGTAAATATCATCTTAATGAACATAAGTTTATGAAAATACAAACTAAAATAAGTAATTATACTAACTAAATTAATAAATGTTGTTTAAATACTGGTCTTCACAATGGATCTAAAATACTGCACCACTCAGAGAGTTACTTTAGGCATAACAAAAGCAGTGTTCTCTACAGGTGAAGATGGATGGTAAGCACACATTCATATGTTACCATGGAAAATAACGCTGGTAGACAGTTCTTATACTACAGAGAAGGAAATGGTAATGTTGATTGCAATGGCTTTGCAGCTCCATAAGAAACAGGTCCACACCAAATAGTTTGGTAGATAATCATTCTTGTAGCTTTCAGTGGCAGGCACTTGGAATCCATAAAGCTGAGATTTGACACATTGGTACTTAATTGACACTGATTGGCTCTGCATCTACCATAACAACCACACCAGTATTCTACACCCACTCATAGCCAGATTTCCAATGGAGTTTAAATACACTTTAAGTACCTCTACATTTTAACATTTCTTTCTTCCTTCTCCCTCCCTTGTTTTCTTATGTAGACATAAAGGAAGTTTAAATTTCTGACAGTTACCTTTAACAGTTCCATGCTGTTAGCACCAAAAATCATTTATTGGCATATTATACTATTTCATAACTTAGAAGGGCTATGGAAATCAGGTGGTGAAACAGCAAAAAATTGCTCTCACAAAATTAGAAGTAAATATGAAGAATACTATCAGAAATAGAATTTTTAGTGTTGATTTGTTACATTCCTTCTTGGCATTAACCGTTTAAATTCATATATCAAATATTTAAAATAAAATTTCTTTTATTATATTGCCACATTTTCTTAATATGGAGGCCTGAAAGTATTTTCATGTATTTCTCTTGTATCATAAGATATTAGAGATAAAATTTGGAGAGCCACTTGTTAGAAAGCTAAATCATTGTATTTCTCGATTACTTGAATAACATACTTCTGAAAGCATGTATAAATCCATTGAATAGTAGAGCTTTAGAAGAAAAGATTAACATTTTTGTCAAAATGTATATTAAATCTACTATCTACAATATATTTATAGATTTTTTTATCAACATGTATTTTGGTATTTCTAAAAAATAATAAAAGATCTTTTTATTCTTATAAATTAACTGTTGTAATAAATGTTTCAATTTATATCTTTTATTAAAAAATCTTTTCCAGTTGAGCTTCTAAGTTGTTATTATTATGTAATATCCATATTAATTTTTGTGGTTGTTAATCATGCAGTCTGTATTCCAGATTTGTTTAGAATAATCCTAAAATGTATACGCCTTTTATTAAAAAAAAAAAAAAAAAAAAAAAAGAGGGATGCTGAACAGCAAAGATTTTGCTATATATTATGTTTACATGTGAATATTTTAGTTAAAAGACTATTCTTTGATATTACAGGGTATACTTTGATTTTTTCACCACAAAATGTTACATGAAAATTTCTGCAACAAAGCACACTTGAAAGAGTGTCACCTATTCAAGTGCCAACATGTTTATATCAATCTGACATCAGTACTATCAAGAATCATCTAATGATGTATTCATCATTCTGCCTATGCAAGTGTGATATATGTGGCGTTGTTTATATTCAGGAAAAAAATAGTGTGTTTTTTTTTTTTTTTTTTTTTTTTTTTTTTTTTTTTTTAATACAAGGATTTATATTTTATTTCTTAAAACAAGGTTTTTGTTTTTAGACCTCCTGTAACTCTCCTTCCCTCCAAAAAAAAAAAACCTATGGAATGTTTTTTTTTTTTTTCCCCCTCCCAGATGCAGTTTTGGTAATAGATCTCGAATACTAATTAATGATTAAATTTTTGTTCTATATATGCTCAGTGCATTTAGCAATGCATTTAAAATGAATCTTTTCTTTATAAAAATATATTCTTTTTTTCTGCACTAAAAACTAGTATTTTATTGAATATTGTACCAAGAGAATGTTTTATTTATATCCATATAATTATTTTTTTTCCAGGTTAGATATACTGAAATGTAAGCTATTTATTGCCTTGTTTGATGTTTTTAGAGAACTGAAAAGTATATAATAAGTGTTTTAATGTTTCTTGTATTAGATGTTTAGTTCCCATATATTATATAAACTTGCTTAGAATGTAGACTGTTTTATGAAAGTTTTAATTAATTTTAATTTAGAATTAATATCTTTTAAATAATGATTTTAATATATTAGTTTTATGAATCTTAAAATTCTACTTCTAAATATATTACAATATATAGCAAAGTTATATTTCTTAATTACTATATATTTCAGTTTCTAAATGTAAAACTAAATATTTGTAACAGTATGTGCAGTTATAGTTATTTGTATGTCTTTAGCTGTTTAAAACAATGTACAATGTAATGTACAATTGTACAATATACAATGTATGTACAGTTATTTTATGAAAAAAATTATAATATCAATTTAAACTAATTATATCTGCGAACTTTTATAAATTTTTCTTAATATTTACAAAAAAACAAATTTCTGTTTTTTGGAATCTTACATGCAAAACAAATTTTTTACAAATTTTGTTATTTTTTGTAAAGATGCCAAAACTTAAGCTAATGGGGCAATTTGTTGCCAAATCAGCATTTTAAATTCGTACTTTTGGCAGACATTTGGATTAATGTTTGATTTTTTTTTCTCTTTATTACATCAAAAACAAGTTCTTTACTTTGGAGTATAAATTCAACTTTTCTGCTTTGCCAAATTTGGCAATTTATCAACATTTTGGCAATTTTAAGATCAACTTGTTTACAAAAATTTGACTCTGGGGTTTGCATAAGTGTCTGTTTTGTAAATAAATGTAACAAATTGTTACAAAATGATTAAAGCAACAATAATACTCTAAAATTAGTTTTTTTAGAAAATAACATTAAAATAAAATATTTTTATTTCCCTTTCTTTCAAAATATTATCTCTCATTTTAGCACTTTTTGAATATCTTATGAATTTAAAAAAAAATAATAATAAATGTTTTAAAACACAGGTTCCAAATTACATTTTTAGTGAAAAGCTTTTATAATTATTTTGAAATTAATTTCAATAGTGTAATTTAAAATTTTTTATGGTAACTGTTATGTCTAATATGATTGTTTAAAAATATTCAAATTGTGTTAGTTTTTTTTTTTTTTTTTTTCTGTAAAAAATTTACTTTGTACTTTTACTGAACTTTTTTCAAATGGCTGTTGATTTTTGCCCTTATAAAGTTGGCATGTATGTAGTTATTCAGTCTGTTGTAATATTTGCAGTATATTATTTCAAATTAAAACAAATGCTAGTTATTATATTTTAATTAGTTTCTTGTTTTGAATTAATTATAATAAATTATATGAATTAATATGCATTTTTCTAAAGAATTATCACAAATTTGCAATATTTAGGGATTTCAGTTCTGATTCCAGTGTTAACTTTTTTTTTTTTAAATTTTATTTCAGGTAATGAAAATGATCAGTACCAATATGGTCAATACCGATATTCTGGATGCCAAACAATATTTGTGTCAGCTGTGTCTATGATGAAACACAGTAAATCTGCTGGACAGACAAAAAAGAATCCTAGATTTACATGTCCTCATTGTCCTTATTCTTCAAATATCAGTACAAATTTCAGACATCATATGTTAACTCACACATCAGAACGACCATTCAAGTGTCCAATATGTGGAATGGGATTCATTCAGAAACAAAATATGAAGAATCATATGATTAATCATAGTAAAAAGCTACTTTTTTCATGATAGCAGTTTAATTTTTATATTGCATATTGAAAAATTTCATGTTATCCATTCTTTAGTAAATTTATTATTGCAAGACTTATGTATATATACTACAATATAGTTAGGTAGATTTTTATTTTATATTATTGAAATTAGGGAACTTTTGAATGAAATAAGAAAGTGGCTTTTTTGGGTCGAGAAAAGTCTCCATTTTAAAAATAATAAATGATGTATAAAAAACTTAAATTTTAGTGCAAAAACCATCAACACACTTAAAATTCTGGAAGTCAGAATAATGGATAATTTAAAATGTATAATAATGAGAGTTGAACGAATTTTTATACTCAGTAATATAGCTACATTAATACTAAATTTAATGTATCTGTAAAGATAAAAAATTTATAGCTGCTACTTCCATGTTTGTTTTTTAAATGCAGAGTAGTTTTTTTTGTATGTATTGATAATTATTTGATATTTTCTGTGTAATAAGAACAAATGAAAAATTAAGAATTTTAGATGTTAAAAATATAATTTTTAATAATTAAATATTTTTAATTTTTAATATGATTAATTTAAATAAAAATGCATTTAAATCATGATGTATGTAATTAAAAACATTAAATATATTTATAGAACTATGTTACATACTTTTTCACTTTTCAGGTTTAAAAAAATGTGTAACATTCCTATGTTAGCCTAAACATATATTCAACTAGTATTCTATAAAATGTTTCGCTATTCCACCTGGACCAGCCTTATTGATAATCTTTTATGATAAATCATATTAAATGTTAAAAGACAGGGTTAAACAGTAGGGTGGAGGTTAACAGGTAGTAGTCTGATGTCATTTTGTTGCATCTGTTGTAACTTCGCCTGTTTAAAACTAGCAATGTGGACATCCAAAATTGATTTTAATCACATATATTGTTTTCTAGTAAAGCTTTTTTTTTTTTTTTTTTTTCTAATAAAGCAATTTGTTAGGCGAAAGTCAAACTGGCAGCCCACAAGCCACATGTGGCTCTTGAAGTAATTTTATGCTGCCTGCAAACACATTTCCTGTAAAATCAGTTAGCATTACTATGACAAGCATTTGAAGAAAAAGTTTAAGATTTTAATCGTATGGAGTCCAGTTTTACATTATGAGCGTAACTCTTCAGAAAATCTAACTACAGTTAATTAATTTATACTGTGACATAAATCTTGTTCAAAGATTTTAAGATACAGATTTGATTAAATTTTATTAGTACTTGCCAAAAGTTAAATATCTTAAATTACGAATTTTAGCGATAAGAATACCCGCTTTGTTTTTGAGTACATTTACATGAGAACAGTTTTTTGTAGTTAAAAATTAATAAGTCTGTGAAAAAAAAACAGACTGCCAATGAGTATCTACAATTTGTGATGATATTTTTTGGTAATTTCCCTCCAAGATTACAAACTTCATGAAAATCGAAACATCATGAAGTGGTGTAATTGAAAGATGTAGTAAAAAACAAAGATATATAGAATAATTTACATACAAATGTTATTTTTTGTTTTGTGTCATAAAAAAATCTCATAAATAGAAGAAAAAAATTATGTTGTCATTATTTATTCTCAAATTTTGCCCCTTTTTTGGAAGCTTTCATATGTCTCTTTTTAGTTGAAATTAAAAGTAAGTTACTTAGTAGTTTAGTGTATTACAGTTAGCTGAATAAATGCCAATCTAAAAATTTTAATACAGTGCAAAGTCCGAGATCCGGACTCGTTGGTACTGCTGCGCTTCCAGATTTGAGATTTTTCCAGATATTAAATCATCAGTTTAAATCTACTAAGATGGCATGTAGAAATTATAAAATTAAAAATATGAAATCGTGATTTATGAAATAATAATGCATTTATGATCAAAATCATAGATGCTTCAAAATTACAAAAAAAAAAAAAAAAAAAAAAGAGCTTAATATTTATTTGTTTACTTTATTAAACCTTTCTTTCAATGTAAGCTGTTTAAGTTGCTTCGTTTTTTGTGCTAATAGTTTCTCTTTAATTCTGTAGACAAGCATAATTTCTTGTTCAGTTACATTGCTGTGTCAAGAATTCCGATTAACTTTTCAATCGAAATTGTTTCACTTCTAGTAAATTCTCGCACTTTCCTCATTATCGGTAGCGGTATTTTCTTGATCTAGAACCATACTACAGATTTTGCCATCCAGATTGATGATTGATGAGAATCTTCTTCTATACTATCATCATTTATTACCGCTTCTCTACATTGCTTTACAAAATCCTTTAATTGGAAAATTTCACCTTTGGTTTGAGATATCCAAAAGCCTTTAAAATTCGTGGCTGTCATCATAAAATTTAGCTATTGTTCACTTTACATGTTTGGCTATGTATAATGAGATTGGAGATTAAAAACAAGTTGTTCCGCTAAATTTTTTCTTGCTTCTATCGAATCACATAGACAATTAAGCCTGAATTAGATTAGTTTAATTATTTATTATACTTATGTCTATTTCTTACACAAGGCTTATCTGATTAAATAAATTCCCACATATACTTAAGGCTTATTGAGGGCCAGCACTAGATATCTTACTGCCTGGTGCAGTCCCTGTAGGTCCCATATTCTGCTACCAAGTGCCTCCCTTTTTGGTCTTACCTAAATTCTGCCGCCATACGAACCCTGGTGCTGGTTCTGGGGTTATGTGAATAACAAATCGGTTATTCTTAATTCAAATAGCAGTAAATTTAATCTTTTGGCCTGTGAATATCACTAACAAAATCTAATTTTAGCATATGGAATGAGATTTTTGCTATATTTTTCCTCGTCAACATTTCTTAGCATATTGAATGGCCATATTCATAAGCGTTATGTCACAGCATAAAAGTTTTCCATATTCTTCCTTATTCTGTTACTAACATAAAACTTACTTTTTACTTCATGCAAGGAAGTAAAAATTGTTTAGGCATCATTGCATGAGTCATTACTCAAGTTGTCTTGTGTTGATAAACATGCAGTGATGAAAGCAAAATATAATAAATAATGATTTGCCAGATTGGCGTCAGGGATATAACATATTAGTAGGTATAAAATCAAGAATGTGTCAGTGTAGAATGTTTCGGTTTGAGATCTATGCCAAGCAGATACGCATCCACGTAGCCAAACTATTGATCATACAAATTTATGTTAAAATTATTGTTTCTTCAACAACGAGGTATTTTATTTAGTGCCGAAATGAAATTAGGAATTGATACTCACCACGTGTTTTATTATGTGCGGAGCACAGAATCAAATGTGCATGTGTATTAAAAAACATTTAGAAAAAGTTATTGGTGGCTTTGAGGTCCGGATTGGACGTCTGAATCACGGACTTTATACTGTATTTAGTTGTTAAATTTGAATACATAGCTATCTATTTGTTTGAACTCCAAATTGCGACCAACAGAAGTTTCTTGCAGATACCAACTTTTAGATTTACCTCAAAATATAAGTATAAATTTGTTATTTTTATTCATATGTTTTTACAAATATCTAGTAAAACGTTTTAAATTTAATTAAGAATTTTTTTTGTTAAAAAAAAAAAACCTGCTTTTTTATTTTTATTATTTATTATTATTTAATTTAATTTAATTTTTTTTATTTATTGCTGCCCATCAGCTGCTTTCAAATTGTGCATGGGCTCGTGTACAATGTTTGAGACTACTGTTGTAAAGTATCATTTATGTAATATGTCTTCTTGTATTGTAGCAAAGTGCCATAAAATTCGTGGAAAGGAAAAAGGTAGTATAGTATTGTGTTTCATATTTTTCCAAAGGACAATTTGCTTTTGGCAAGAAAAAAGTGGATACATGTGTCGAAGACAGTTTTTTATTAATGTGAAAAATGCCAGAATTTGAACGGAACATTTTCTATGCAGTGATTGTGAGGGGGACATGAAAAATTGCTTGATTGGATTGCTACAAAAGAAACTGTTAAAATCCAATTCTGTGCCAAGAAAAGAAAATAATGCAGAATGTTTTTAAAAGATTACACAAATTAAATTTCAAGAAAATTCATTTTGAGGCTGATTACAAAAATGATGTGATAGGAATAATAAATCAAATGCGAATGATTTTAAAATAGAACTCGCAAATTGCAGTGGAAATATATTGCTGAATGCCCTAACTGTAAAAATACATAAGAATGCATTGATAATTTGTAAAAAACAAAGCTCAGGATTTAAGTAATGTATAATCATATAAAACATCAAAGCAATTTCACATAAAAAAGATCTTCCTTCTTTTGAAAGATTAAATAATTCTCTTTAGATACTGTGAGCAAAGTTCTTTTTTTAAACTTAAAAAAACGACCGTGTATATATTTAAATGTAATGTATGTGCTTAAATGTAAGCATAAGTTAGACAATTATTTTTAAAATATCTGATATATCAAATCGAAAGAGAAACACGGAAATGTAAAATTTATAATTAGGTGAAAAAAGTAATCTTAGATTAAATTTTGAATAAAACTTTTGATTTCAAGGGCAGTCAGACATAAGTTCCTCATCTTAAGCTGCAGGGGGGGGATTGACATATACATTTAAAACTACGCCAAACTAAGAGTTTTTTCCCTCTAACTTTAGAATGCTGTTATTGTAGTTATCTTAGAAAGACTAACAGAATTCTCTCACTTAGTATGCTGATGAAAAAAAGATAATGAATATGATACTTCTTTTCTTCATAATTTAATAATAAATGCACAGGGGAGGAAAAACCTGCAACTTTTAAGAAAACAGCATATTTTATCTATTATTTTAAAATTAATAAATAACTTTTTAGACATTATAAATGCTTACAGTAATAACATCTTTTCTGCTAAATTAAAGCTATTTCTTCATGCACAGTTTTTTAAGGCTATTTTTTCAAATTTAAAACAATTTTTTTGCTGTAAATTGATAGACTGACTACATCATCACTCCTCACTTCCTGTTTAAGGCGGAAAAGCTCTATGAACTAGCCTTTTTCTTTTTAAGTCCTGTTTAACCCTTTGCAGCACACCTAAAAATTTCCTTCTGTATGTACAGAAAAATTGAATGAAAAAGGATTTATAGGTTACTCTGAACTTTCTTTATTTATAGTAGATGGCAACTCAACACAAACCAGTCCATATATTTTAGTTTTTTAAGACCCTCATTTTTCAAAGAAATCTTCCAGATTTTTTTAGGGTATAAAAGGAATTGTTTGAAAAGAAATTTATGTTATTTTTTGTCTGTATGCTAATCTTCTTATTCTATATTAGTTTTAAATTTTTACCTTGAAATCTTGCTTAAAATCAAACAGCGAACCCTAGTTGTGCCCAGACCGGGCTCATCGATAATCTAGGACAACTGAAAGTCTGTATTCATTGTTTCTCCATCTCATCGGTCAGTTCATTGAAAACGATAAGTGCTATCTTTACAAAATTTTACTTGTGTACTCCTCTAGGCCTAATTAGACTGCCTACCTTTTTTTTTTTT